ATGGAATCGATCTAGTATGGGCAGTCCCAATTCGGGCCGAGTTCACCGTTTACAGGATTCTTAGCAACAGGGCAGTACTTTTTTAAGGGCCAGCTCTCCGGGAGTATACCAGCGCAAATGCACTCGTTGATTGTATGACTTAGCAAGTTACTGCTGCTATCACGCCATAGCCACAAAGGCTCAATCTTGGCGTTCTTCAATTAAATCCATAAATAAATAAAAATAGATTTTTGGCCATAACTCCTTCCTAGTGCCCATTTTTTTCTTGAAAATGACAAACTCTAAGTTTTTGCCTTGTAAACTCATCCAAAATAAAGAAATCTTGTAAGAAGAACAAAAATTTTCAGATTTATATTTTGTGTGACAAATTTATCCCTTCACACACATACTCTCTCGCTCTCTCTCTCTCTCTCCTCTTTCTTTCACTCAGTCTGTCTCAAATCTCTCTCTTTCTTACTCTCTACCACCATCACCACTGTCTATACCACCACCACCATGACTACCACTGTTTCCACCTCTTCTACCATCTCCACCACCACTATCTCAACCATTAGCGTCGTTCGTCATCGTCACCACCGTTTCCACCACCACCATCTTAACTATCGGCGCCATTCAATGACACTATCATCGACAACCATCATCGTCATCTTTCGCCTCCGAGACCTCAGATCTGAGATCTATCATCTCGGATCTATATTCTCTCTCTCTCTCTCTCTCTCTCTCTTTGTCTCCTCATGATGCTTTGTTTTTCAAACAATAAAATTTTACTCTAATTTGAACCAATTCTGAGGCAATATATGTGTTTTCTCTATCCTTCTATTTCTCTACCTTTTTCTCTTTCTCTCTATATGTATATATTTTTATTTTAGTGCAATTTTTTTTTTTTTTGTCATTATCAGTTTGAATATTGATTTTGAGATGTTAAACGAAAATGTTACATTAGTACATGTAATAGTGAAATAGTAAAATTTTAGAGTATAATTTTACTCTGTGTAAGAGTAAAATTTTACTGTTAACATTATTAATTCAATATTCTGACTGAGAATAATGGTAATAATTATAGTAAGTGCGGTGGTTAGTGATAACAATCGCAAAAAATCACTATTTATATGTTCGCAGTAAATCATAAAATTTTACTGTCCAAATTAACAGAGTAAAATTTTATTGTCACTTGAGAATCTTACCAGGAAATTGTCTCCAGAGAGGGTAATCAATGATGGCCGGCGATGGTCGGTGATGGCAGACAATGGTTGGTGGTGGTTGTAGTAATGTAAGAAAATGATAGAAGTTGAGGGTATTATTGTCATATTTTTTAAAATATTTTGAACTTTGTCCTTTATGAATTAAATATTTTTAGCTTGTCCTTTTGGAAATAAAGTTTGTTCTTCTTGCAAGATTCTCTGGTAACATAAAATTTTACTCTATTAGATAGTAAAATTTTACTATGTTAATTTGGACAGTAGAATTTTATTGTTTGCTTTAAACATATACATAATATTTTTTGCCATCATTATCACCAACCACCGCACTTAGGCCTCGTTTGACAACTACATATTTTAGCCATAAAGTCAAAAAGTTACTATAAGTCATCACATCACTCTCTCTACTTTTCTGCACATCTTTCGTAAAAAGTTAAAAAATTACTAAAATAGTTTGTTCCCAAATGAGACCTTACTATAATTATTACCATTATTCATATAGATATTAATTGAGAAATCAGTTGAAACATTGAATTAATACCTTTAACAATAAAATTTTACTATTTCTCTATTGAACGTACTAAAATAACATTTTCATTTACGATCTCAAAATCAATAATTAAACTGATAATGGCAAAAAAATGCACTAAAATAAATAAATATATATAGAGAGAGAGAGAGAGAGAAAGAGAAAGAAAGAGAAAAAGATAATGAAATAAAGAGATAGAGAGATCACATATATTACCTCAAATCTGGTTAAAAACTAGAGTAAAATTTTACTATCTAAAAAATAGAGCATCATGAGGAGACAAAGAGAGAGAGAGAGAGTATAGATCAGAGATGATAGATCTCAAATCTGAGGTCGTCAATTTCAAATCTGAAGTTTTCGAGGCGAAGAGTGATGATAGTGGTTGTCGGTGGTACAGTGGCATTGAATGGCCCCAGTGGTTGAGACGGTGATGGTAGAAACAGTGGTAGTGGTGGCGGTGACGAACAACACTGGTGGTTGAGATGGTGATGGTGGGGACGGTGGAGGTGATAGAAATGATGGTGGTCGTGGTAGTGGTGGTAGTGGAGATAGTGGTGGTGTAGACGGTGGTGGTGGTAGTGGTGATAAAAGGAGAGAGAGAGAGATAGAGAGAGAGAGAGTGTGTGGGGGGTAAATTTTTCACACAAAATAAAAATCTGAAAATTTTTGTCTTTCTTACGAGATTTCTTTATTTTTGAGGAGTTTACAAACCAAAAAAATTAGAGTTTGTCATTTTCAAGAAAAACAAGCTCTAGGAAGGAGTTATTGCCAAAAATACATTTTAATTTATTTATGGTATTAATTGTATCTTCTAAGTTTTTAATAAGATATAAATGTCATAGAATAAATTACAAAAATTAGATTAATGATAAAATAAAAATACATTATGTTCCATAAGTTTTTTAATTTTAGTTTATCCCATGTCAAAGTTCACCTAATGATAAAAATATTTTATTACATATATCTCACACCTTTGACATAAATTCAAATCTTAATATAATAACATTTTTGATACTATGTGACAGTTATCATGATATTTTTTGCTTAACTTTGAACATAAATTAGTTTTTAAGAGTAATTGGGATAAACTTGAAATATAAAGAATCAAAGTAAAAACATACAAACTTTAAGAGGCAAAATATAAAAAGTGACCAAACATAAAAGGGCTAAAATTTATCCAAAATTACATGTAATCCACATTGAGCAATCAATTAAAGGAAAAGTTGCAACCCCCAAGATGGGAAAATTTTGGAAGCAACAGTATTAAATTATGAGTTTGCTATTAACACCCCATTAATTATTTTGAACTCCTATTTTTTTGGATCCCCACTTATAAATTGTAAAACCCTTAAAATTTCTTTTTTCCTCTCAAATAATACTAAAATTATCCTTGTAAAAACATTTTATCCATTCAAATACACACCCTCACACCCCAAAAAACCTCTCTCTCAAAACCCTAACAAAACTTACAACGATGAAACCTCCCAAAATTAGTAGAAAAAATTTGTGTGATTAAGAAGTTTTATCTCTACTTCATTACAAGGCTTGTCAATCTGTTTAATTTTTTTTTTTTCTATTACCTCTTTTTACACACACAACACAATCTACTTTCATGATTCTCTAGTTGGTTTCTGTCATTCATCCATGGTTTCACTATACTTATATGCTATTTGTGTGAGCAAAATTTGGTAGGATTTCACCCTCCGGTCGATCGGCCAAGGGTGGTTTGACCTCCTTTGTTTGCCTGCTTTTGCTGCTGTTACTGCTGCTGTTGCTTCAGTTATTTGTTTCTGAACAAATAAGAAATGTTTAGCTACCTATTCCTAAACAAATAAACAATGATCGGGCCTGTGTTCCCGAAATTTTGGTCATACGTTTGGGAGTTCAGCTTGAAAAAATGACAAATAATTTTTATTATTTTTGTTTTTTTTTTTTTAAGAAACTTACTCTTACAAGGCAAATCTCATCTGAGCTAACAACAACATCAAAGCTATGATTCTCTTCTAAACTTTTATTGTTGTACTCATTTCGTCTCATGGAGTTGTGGTTGCCGGAAAAACTTTCACTCATTATCATTGTTGAAGAAGTGTATGTAATCAAATGGTTGTGACTGTTGCCACCGGAATATTGCCGCCAAATGATTTTTAAAGTTTTGAGGGCGGGTAGGTTTTGAAGGTGTGATTTGGGAAAGATAGATGGATGGTGATAGAGGTGGATGCTCTTATAAACCCTAACTCATGATATAATGGCCCTGTTTGGTACAGCTTATTTCAGCTTTCAGCTTAATTTAAGCTATTTTGATGTGTTTGGTTTAGCTTATAGCTTATAGCTTATAGCTTTGTGGAAGTCAGAAAACAACTTATTCTTTGAGTGGGGCAGGAGATGCTTTAAGAATAAGCTGGAAATCAGCTTAAGCTGAAAGTTATAAGCTATAAGCTGTTTAGGCATAAGCTATAAGCACTTTCCCACAGCTCTACCAAACAGGGCTAATGGGTATGTGGGCTTAATTGAGAGATGAGATGTCCCAAAATTATTGATGTATTTTTTAATAATTTCACTTGAGATTATTATTATAATAATAATAAAATAATAAAATAAAATTTAAAAAAAAAACTAAAAAATAGGGGCCCAAAATTATTGATGGGGGTAATAGCAGCAATCCAAATTATGTTACTTATATATTTTTATTTACAGTCAAAATTGGGGTAATTTAGATAAAGTTGACTACAAGTTATTTGGTTAGTGGTAATTATTTCAAAGTTAGCACGATGAGGTCCTACCTATCTATTCAAAAGCAGAAATCCCTGTTATCCAGAAAAATTTATTAGATTTTAGACCAGATGATGATTGTATGGTTGAGGTTGAAATGATATTGTGTAGTGTCATATATGAAAAAGAAAAATTAGGACATAAATTGATAATTTTGAATAAAATTTTGAATTTATATGATTACGGATTTAAAAGCATGGGATAGGAAACCTACTCCCAATACATCATATAATTTTGGGAGTGTTGATCAATAAAATTGAATTCTTAAACACGGTTTGAGGTAATTCATGTTCCGTTGTAATACCAATTGTGAATAATATATAGATTCTGATTGGTGCAAAATATCAAGTTCTATGCCCAAAACACCTCACCCAAATGTTGAGTGTTTGAACAAAATCAGACTCAACACAATTCTCCAAATAGTTCTAGCACAAAATGTAGACAGTATATCAAATAAACTTTCAATGCATATATATTTGAAATAAATACATAATCAGTTTCATAAATGAGAAGAAAAAGAGAGAGAAAAAAAAAACACGAAACCCACATGTCTCTAATGGAGTGCCAAAAGGAATGATGATGTGGTTGTTACAATAATTTTACATACTTTTTTTGTTTGAAAATATTAAAAGAGAGTTTTCCAATATCAACAGACCAGACATCAACGCCACTTTTTGCTGATTAATAGCAAAAGAGAAAATGGATAGTAGAAAATGTAGCGTAGCATGCGATGGTTCAAGGAAGTTGGTAGAAAGAGTAGAATCAACAGCGTGGAAAGGGCAAGGACAAAGATTAAGCCCATGATCAAAATAACATAAGAAAGCCAATTAAGGTTGCTCACCACTAGATAAACACTTGTCATGAATGAGATTGCGACCATCGTAAGAGCTCCTCCGAACAATGGCGAAGCCAATTTCAAGGAAACACGGATGAGATTAAGATCTCCCAACTGTGCCCATATGAGCAAAACAGCAACAATAATGGAACTATACATAGCTACAGCATTAGCGATCACGAATACTTGAAATGCAGACTTTTTTACCATAAGTGCCATGCCCTTGTGAGTTACAGAGTCGTCATATCCACCTGGAACAGTGATACCAGCCGCAAAGGTCACAGTGATAATAATTGTTGCCACCAACAGGAGAGTGTTAATCCTATCCTTGTAGGCCTCGACAGTTGAATTTTTTTTCGTTTTGATGGTCTTTGGCTGCCCTCGTGGCGCACTAGCATGTCGCAAGGCTATCAATGTTAGCCCCTGCAACATTGGAGAGGGTTAGTTTCAACTCATGTGATCACTCAACAATGATAACATGAAAAATTCAAAATAACTAATTTAGTTCAATATCATATGGAAAGTTTGTCATTAAAGTGGAAATAGAATTTCACGTGAGTCAAGAACCTCGAGATGTTAAGTGGATCATCAGTGAGTGTAAAAGAGAAAGCTCCTAAATAAGAGGATATGAAAATGTAAAGCCCAAGTGATTTGGGAGTTCAGCTTGAAAAAATGACAAATAATTTTTATTATTTTTGTTTTTTTTTTTTTAAGAAACTTACTCTTACAAGGCTAATCTCATCTGAGCTAACAACACCATCAAAGCTATGATTCTCTTCTAAACTTTTATTGTTGTACTCATTTCGTCTCATGGAGTTGTAGTTGCCGGAAAAACTTTCACTCATTATCATTGTCGAAGAAGTGTATGTAATCAAATGGTTGTGACTGTTGCCACCGAAATATTGCCGCCAAATGATTTTTAAAGTTTTGAGGGTGGGTAGGTTTTGAAGGTGTGATTTGGGAAAGATAGATGGATGGTGATAGAGGTGGATGCTCTTATAAACCCTAACTCATGATATAATGGGTATGTGGGTTTAATTGAGAGATGAGATGTCCCAAAATTATTGATATATTTTTTAATAATTTCACTTGAGATTATTATTATAATAATAATAAAATAATAAAATAAAATTTAAAAAAAAACTAAAAAATAGGGGCCCAAAATTATTGATGGGGGTAATAGCAGCAATCCAAATTATGTTACTTATATATTTTTATTTACAGTCAAAATTGGGGTAATTTAGATAAAGTTGACTACAAGTTATTTGGTTAGTGGTAATTATTTCAAAGTTAGCACGATGAGGTCCTACCTATCTATTCAAAAGCAGAAATCCCTGTTATCCAGAAAAATTTATTAGATTTTAGACCAGATGATGATTGTATGGTTGAGGTTGAAATGATATTGTGTAGTGTCATATATGAAAAAGAAAAATTAGGACATAAATTGATAATTTTGAATAAAATTTTGAATTTATATGATTACGGATTTAAAAGCATGGGATAGGAAACCTACTCCCAATACATCATATAATTTTGGGAGTGTTGATCAATAAAATTGAATTCTTAAACACGGTTTGAGGTAATTCATGTTCCGTTGTAATACCAATTGTGAATAATATATAGATTCTGATTGGTGCAAAATATCAAGTTCTATGCCCAAAACACCTCACCCAAATGTATATATCGTGCAATTTTTTATCAGTCACAAGTGTGTATTGTTTACGTACTCTGTTGAGTGTTTGAACAAAATCAGACTCAACACAATTCTCCAAATAGTTCTAGCACAAAATGTAGACAGTATATCAAATAAACTTTCAATACATATATATTTGAAATAAATACATAATCAGTTTCATAAATGAGAAGAAAAAGAGAGAGAGAAAAAAAAACACGAAACCCACATGTCTCTAATGGAGTGCCAAAAGGAATGATGATGTGGTTGTTACAATAATTTTACATACTTTTTTTGTTTGAAAATATTAAAAGAGAGTTTTCCAATATCAACAGACCAGACATCAACGCCACTTTTTGCTGATTAATAGCAAAAGAGAAAATGGATAGTAGAAAATGTAGCGTAGCATGCGATGGTTCAAGGAAGTTGGTAGAAAGAGTAGAATCAACAGCGTGGAAAGGGCAAGGACAAAGATTAAGCCCATGATCAAAATAACATAAGAAAGCCAATTAAGGTTGCTCACCACTAGATAAACACCTGTCATGAATGAGATTGCGACCATCGTAAGAGCTCCTCCGAACAATGGCGAAGCCAATTTCAAGGAAACACGGATGAGATTAAGATCTCCCAACTGTGCCCATATGAGCAAAACAGCAACAATAATGGAACTATACATAGCTACAGCATTAGCGATCACGAATACTTGAAATGCAGACTTTTTTACCATAAGTGCCATGCCCTTGTGAGTTACAGAGTCGTCATATCCACCTGGAACAGTGATACCAGCCGCAAAGGTCACAGTGATAATAATTGTTGCCACCAACAGGAGTGTGTTAATCCTATCCTTGTAGGCCTCGACAGTTGAATTTTTTTTCGTTTTGATGGTCTTTGGCTGCCCTCGTGTCGCACTAGCATGTCGCAAGGCTATCAATGTTAGCCCCTGCAACATTGGAGAGGGTTAGTTTCAACTCATGTGATCACTCAACAATGATAACATGAAAAATTCAAAATAACTAATTTAGTTCAATATCATATGGAAAGTTTGTCATTAAAGTGGAAATAGAATTTCACGTGAGTCAAGAACCTCGAGATGTTAAGTGGATCATCAGTGAGTGTAAAAGAGAAAGCTCCTAAATAAGAGGATATGAAAATGTAAAGCCCAAGTGAAACAAAGAGGAAAGTAAGGCCCATAAGAGTATAAAGCCTAACCAAAATTCTTGTGACAAAAATTAAACAATAAAAATCTGAGAACATATGGAAATTAGGCCGACATGGTATTAGACTGTTTTTGACCATATATTGAGTGTGAAATAAAAAGGCAGCAAAACCTAGAGAAGAAAAGTTTGGGATGGAATAAATAAAGAAAACAAGATTTGAAAATGAAAAAAGAAAAAAAAAAAGGGCGAGTGACCATATTTTGTGTGTAACAACACTGGAGAAAGAAAAAATAATTTTTTATTGATTCAGTGCATATATAAATAAGAAAAAGAGAACAATTAATTTAAAAAAACATTGAGGATATTGAAGAAGACAATACATATATATATATATATATATGTGTGTGTGTAGGGATCTTTTGGGAACAATGGTAAAAAGTTAACTTTTTGACTTTTTAACTTTTTTAGCCAAAAAAATCAGTTTTTTTACCCAAAGCAACTCAGTTTTTCGTCAAAAAAACCCTCAAAAAAGTCAAAAAGTCAGCTTTTTACTAAATTCCCAAAATACCACTGTGTGTGTATCTAAAACTTTGGAAGCATTTGGAAGGTATAAAATCTCCAGGTTGGGCATGGACAAAACTTAAGGGGTGGTTTGCCATCCCCTAAATAATTCATCTTTTTATCTTTTATCTTTTTTTTATCACACCACCTCTCTACTTCTCTGCACATCTTTTCGTAAAAAGACAAAAAGTGTACTTATTTAGATCATCCCAAATAATTTTTTTTTTCAAATTGGAGGCAATCTATACTATATATTAAGCAAAATGGGGTTTTTAATCCCAAGCCTTGTGGGAACTCCAATCTCCCAATCTAAATTTCTTGATTTTTTTATTTAAAAAAAAAAAACCTTAGCATTTATTAACTTCTCCCAACTCCCAAGTCTTACCCTCATAATAATACTTTAATGCATTAAGTACAATCATGAAAAAAATTCTTTGAAATTCAACACATATGAATTCCTTGAAAAGTCCCAACACATATGATTATTATCTCTCATAATAACACTTTAATGCATTAAAAAAAAAATCTTGAAAAATTCAACCCATATGATTATTATCAAAATATTAAACTTTAATATAATATAATAATAAAAAAAACATTTAATTCCTTGAAAAGTCCAACACATATGATTATTATCAAAATATTAAACTTTAATATAATATAAAAAATGAAAAAAAAAAGACATTTAAAAAAAAAGACATTTAAAAATCGTAATTTACATGTATAGATAATTGTAAATATATTAAGGAAAATGGAGTTTCTAAACCCCAAGCCTTGTGAGAGCTCCAATATCTCAATCTTAATTTTTTAAATTTTTTATTTTAAAAAAAAAAATCAGCATTTATTGATTTGGTCAAAATCCCCTGATCAGTATTTATTAACTTTTTTCAATCCATATACCTGCATTTATTGATTTGGTCAAAATATCTGATTAGCATTTAAAATTTCATCATACAAATAATTATAGATACAACCCGTGCATAGTTACTGTAGTAGCCTTTTTAATTTCTCTTGTACACTATGGTTAGTGATAAAATTGTTAAATTATTTTTATAAAAAAAAATTTAAAATATAATTTATATATTAAAAAAATTAAAACAAATATAAATATCTATCATTATCCCGTGCATAGCACGGGTGATAGACTAGTCTTTATCTATTGGAATATAGGTGACAAGATTTAGATGAGTTCAAAATGAACAGGTTGAATAAAAGTTGGCAAAAAATAAAAAGAAGAAGAAAATTATATGGAGGAAAATGTTTAAGGTGTATGTGTGGGGAAAAAATCTGTCGCACTGGTCGAAGTGACAATAAATGGAACCCACTCCTTTAACTCTCTTTCACTTTCTAAACTTGTGACAAAGACGGGTGAGTCCTTGCCGACTAGGATATTCAATCGGGGAAATATGATACTTAGGTCAAGTTTGGGAAGACTAAATAAGTGCATTTTTTATCTTTTTAAACTAAAAAGTTGAGGTTGAAAATATGAATGTTTGGGTTAACTTTTTGACTTTTTATGGAAAAATGTGTAATAAAAAATTGTAAAAATTAGTTTGTAAGAGAAAATTAGAATTGGGAATTGTGCAGCCGTAATTGTTGACTTTTGGTGAATAGTGATGACTTTTTAACTTTTTGAGTAACTTTTTGACTTTTTGACTTTTTTTAAACTACCCAAACTTGGCCTTAGTAGATTATTGGTGCAAACTCTTAAAATAACAACATGAATGCTCAAGGATATTGCGTACTTTTGCCCTTAGGCTGAATTTTCTTCTTGTATTAGTTGAATTATCCATTGAGAGAAGAGTTATGCAAAATATCGTCTAATCTGTTACAATTTCCTAATCTACATCGATTCACCCGCCAACCACAAATTAATTTGATCTACAGTTTAAAATTTATATTCCGCCTTCAAAATCAACCAAGCCTGCCATAGTTAGTACATATATTTTTTTTTTACTTTCAGTAAAATATCAAAGTAAAAATTACTGTAAGAAAATCTAAGATGTAAAATTTGATACAAATTAATCTTATATATAAAAAAATATTATGTAAAATCAATTAGTGTTATATATATGAAAAATATAATATAAATTAGTATTATATATTATATAAATATTTGATAATCATTTAAAATCGTTCTTCAATTAACTAATACGTTGAAACCACCAAACCTCCCAAACGACAATTTGATTACGAATATTAAATTTGTCAATATGTTATCCACGATTTGATTTTGATTTTTTTTTCAAATCGTACCAAATTACACCGCCCATAGTTGAGAGTTTTTCATAATCACTTGCATACATTGCTGTGCCTTTGACAGGATCAACGTTGCCTATCCGCAAATTTTCTTAGAAGAGCTGACAATGGGAGTGTTTGGTAGGGCTTTTTTGAGCCAATTTATGGCTTCTGGCTTTTAAAAAGTTATTTTGGACTGTTTGGTTAAACTTATTTCAAACAGCTTCTGATTCTAACAACTTATTTTAAGTGAAAAAAGCTGATTCTGAGAAGCTGCTCACCCCTTGCTTCTGATTATCAGCTTCTGCTGTGGACATATTAATTCACGATTATACTCTTAGATTTTTTTATTTTTTATTTTTTAAAAATAGAAAAAGACACAAATGGACTATAAAATATTTTTTTTTTTTATGAAAAATGTAGACAAATAGTGAATAATAAAAAATAAAAGTTAATTGAAAAAGCTACTTCACAGCTTATTTAACAAACACTACTCAGCAACTTAAATGTATAATCCAACAGCTATACCAAACAGATTAACAGCTTCTGATTAAAGTCATAATCTATAATCTGTTAAGTTATAATTTACAATCTATTTTAACAGCTACACCAAACCGCACCAATAAACTCACACTTTGTGGGCTCAACTTTGACTTAGTCCACCCCTTTCTTGTGCTTGGCGTTCAATCAGCATTAAGGGTGGCCACGGGTGGTTTTGGGGCGGGTTTATAATTTCCCACTCCGCTTTTGCCGACATATTCTACCTCCGCTCCTATCCCATTCCTACTATGGGTAGAATTTTTCAACCCACTTCCATTCTCACGGATACCCGATACTCGCAGATATCCGACTATATTTCAAATAGTCAAAAAAATTAATAAATAATTTTTTTTTTTTTATATATATAAACAATGAGACTTTTAAGATTATTATTTATTTATATTTAAACAAAATTAAAAAATTTTAATATTAATTTTTTATATCTAATTATATTATATATACATACATATATATATATATATATTAATTATATTAGGTCGAGTTTGAATGGGAGGAAGCGATACCTACCTCCTTCCCACCCCGTTGCTGGTGACCCCACAGAGCGAATTTAATGGTCATCTCTAATCAGCATACTTGTCTGGATGTTTGACCGAATGCATTGTTTGGTCATTTGGCTGCGTTGAATAACATTCCATAAATGCCCTCCAACTCCGACTTGCCATTTGTTTCCAAGCAACTATTGTAGTTTTTGTGATGCATCATATCTAATTGAATAATATTATGAATCATGAAAAAAAATATTATAAAATACTTCATGAATTTTTTTATCCTTTAATCAATGTGTGGTGTTTTATTATATGTGCAATCTAACGGTGAAAAAACTTTCATAATCATTTTCATGATATTTTTTTCATGATCCGTTATTCGAGCCTTTGCAATTCAAATGTTATAACCGAGCATCCAAGCATTTGCTTGGACTTCAAATGTTTTTGAGTCGTTTGAAGATGCCTCTTTAATTTTGCCTAGGGCTGCAAATGAACAGAGCCGTTCATGAACAGGCTCGAGCTTGGCTCGATAAGAACTCGTTCGAACTCGGTTCGTTAATTTTTTTTTGCGTTCGAGCTCGAGCTCGTTAAATTTTTAATAAAAAAGCCTAAACATTTTAAAACTCAGCTCGTTAGCTAGCTCGTTTAATATTTATTATTTATATATTAAATAATATAAAAATATGTGTAAAAAATAAGATAAATATGTTATTTATATATTTAAAAAATATAAATGTAAATAATAGTTAACTATAGATAGTACATTTATGAAATAGTAATATTGGTAGTAGATATTATTATTTTGATAAAATATTAACTTTTTTTTAGAATGTTTTTATATATTGTGTATATAATTGTTTAATTAAAGTTTTAATTGCAATTTTAGTCTCATATACAAGTATAAATTTATAAATTTTTTGACTCGTTAATGCTTGTGAATAAACTTGAGCTCGAGTCAAGCCTAAGCCAACTCGGTTTGAATTCAATTTGTTATTCAGCTCGAGCTCCAGTTCGAGCTCGTTAAAATCTTAATAAACAAGTCCAAACATACTAAAGCTCGGCTCGGCTCCGCTCGTTTGCCGCCTTAATTTTGTCCTTTCAAGTGATGCCTTTTTGGCTGCCTCACCACGCGGCAACACACCATTGGCTGGCAACTGTCATTTTCCCTAAAACGATTCATCCCATCAATTGAGTTACCAAACCACACCATAATTTCTCAAGGTATATATTTGACTTTGAATAATGTTATATGTATCAATTATTATACTAACTAGTATATCAATTGATAATGTATCATAATTTAAGAGATGTTTGGTATTTATAATGTGATTAATGAGTGGGTCAATAACAATATCATAACTAGTATTGGTACACTAGTTAATACACTAATTAATACATGTAGCACCACCGTTTGACTTTTAGTTCTTTTCTTCTTTGACGGTCCATTGTATTTATGTCTGGCAACTGCAGCGTAGAATTGCCTTCCGCAGCGTAGAAGAGAAAAAGTTGTAAAAAAAAAAATTGAGTTGAACTCTGAACATGAAGAGGCTTTCATAAACTTGGCACTACCCATGTCTAACCTTAACGGAGAGTGACAGTACCAATTACTATGTTTGGAATGAAAATAATACTAGTTGTGAAGCTGCAAACCAAAGTAAGGAACTGAGATTCTCTCTAATAATTATTTTCACAATAATCTTGTAATAGTAATTTAGGTAGGTGGCTTAAGTTTAAAACATAGTCAATGGCGTTTAGATAGATGGTTTAACATAGATAACACGTGAATTGTCGAGATGCGCACAAACTATTCTCAATTTTTTCTGACGTATCTTTTTCAATTGATAAAATTGGTAATCCACTTATATTTTTTGTGATATAATCAACGTTAAAATAGAAAATTTCTAAATTTTAATTTTGAAAAACTTTTTTTTGTAGAAAAAATAGTTACAAGTATTGTTAATAATATTTTGTAATTATCTATTCTCCTATTTATAAAATAAAAAAATAAAAAATTTAATTCAAAAACATATAAATTATATATTTTATTTCTTTTTCTCCTTTTAATTCCCTTGCTCCATATATATACATTATTATAAAATTTTATGTAGATTGATATAATTTAATATGAATTTTTTTTATTTTAAAACAGAACACCAATGAATATTATTTTATTTATATATTTTAATGGTTCAATTCAGGTTCAAACTAGAACCGCAACTATAAAATTATGAATCGAACTGTGAAGTATAATTCGTCTATTTTAAGATTAAGACCAAACTATGCATTGAGAAAATTAAATCAAATTGTGTGATTTTTCCTGAATCAAATTGATTTGCAATTTTTTTTTTTTTTTTTTACTCTATCCATTTTAGCATCATAGGAAAAAATAACATGAGTATGATTATCTTCAATTTCAAATCAATGAGAAAGGCAACTACATGCATCCTTTAAAAAGGCATATCGCAAAAAAATTATAACCTTTTATGATAAAAATTATAATTTTTTTTGGGTGTGTTATGCTATTTTATTGTAAAAGTTATGAATAATAAATTTATAATGTATCTTAAAATTACAAATAACGAAATGGGAAAATTATGCAAATAGTCTCTGTAGTTTACACGATGTGTCAATTTGGTCCCTGTAGTTTCAATTTACTCAATTTTGCTCTTTAATTTAACGGATTGTGTCATTTTAGTTCAACAAAAAACGGTTGTTAAGTTAATCTAACGGAAAGTCAAACAATGTGTCAATTTGGTTCCTGTATTTTTCACAATGTGTCAATTTAGTCCCTGTCAAAATCGAGAAAATTGAAATTATAGGGACCAAATGGACATATAGTTTGACCTTCCGTTAAATTAACTTAACAACAGTTATTTATTTGACTAAAATGACACAATCCGTTAAATTAAAGGACAAAATCAAGAAAATTGAAACTATAGGGACCAAATTGACACATCGTGTAAACTACAACGACTATTTACATAATTTACCCTAACGAAATTATGTCACTACAAAATAAAAAAATACCTTTTTTTATGGTAAGCAAAAAGTTTTGTTTTTCGTAGTAAAAAAAAAAAGTATGTTCATTGTGTAGTAAAAGTTGTGAATTTTTTGTGATGTTATGAGGTGTACAGTGTATGCACCCTTTTAGGAGTGCACATAATAGTATTTCCTCAAATGAAATTTTGTATACTACAAGAATAGCATTTGAATAGCACTATAAAAATGATGTGATAATATCATTTTTTTTAAAGTAAAATTATATTTATAAGTGTTTTATTTTAAAATAAAAGATTCACATTAAATTATATCAGTCTATATATTTTTTTGTATGAATATTTGTTTATATATTATATTATATGGAGCAAGGGACTCAAAAGGACAAAGAAAAAGAAAAGGATTTTTGAGAGAAAAAAAAAGCTTGAATTTGGAACATAAAGGTGATTGAGAGTTGGAATGGAGCCAATAAAACAACACAGTATTAAAGCATAGCAGTCAGCATCCCCGAACCCCTCAACCACACCTTTACATCCTAAGTTTTTTGATAGAATTTCTAGATAACTAGTTTTGTTGGAACAAATATAAACGTTGTCCTACTATAATTGTTTAAGAAACTTGAGATGATTGTATCAATATTTACAAAATATGTGCGGTAAAGAATGTATAATCTTTTTAAATTTTCTTACTCAATATTAAAATGCTCATTAATAAAATCTAAAAATATATAGACATTACAAAAATAAATAAATAACTAAATAAATTACGCCTCCTCAATTTATGGCAATGGTTAATACTTGGGCCCACGTTTAGCTACAGTAAAAAAATATTTTTGAAAGGTATGCGAATTCTAAAATAGCGTCATAGGTTTCAAATAGTCACATAATGAATTGTACAAACGGTCTTGATACAGGAAAGCGTATCGAAAAGAAGAGCGAGTAATAAAATTTAACCACAAATAAATCTGAATTAAAAATACTCTTTCTATGAATGAATAATATTGAGAAAACTCTCTATTTTTATTAATCAAATATCAACTATATTGCATTAAGACTTACATCTTTATTTATACTAAAATAATTCTTACTAATCAATAAATCTAAAAAAGGAAAAGAAATATTCTTGCTAGTCAAGAATATTTTAACAGGAAAATACAATATTAAGAAATAAAAATAATTCTTGTGATCAAATAATCCTATTCTTGTAAAATAAGAAAATAAACAAAGTAGGAAACTTAAATAAATAAAAAATTAAAAGATCCTAGTCTAATAAAATAAAATATATAGTTTTTAAATTTCAATCTACATCAACTGATGCAGGGAAGCGTATCGGAAAGAAGAGCAAACAACAAGATCAAACCACGAACAAATCCGAACTAGAAATACTCTCTCTACGAATGAATAGTATTGAGAAAACTCTCTATTTTTATTAATCAAATATCAACCGTAGTGTCCCAGGGCTTACATCTTTATTTATGCTAAAATAATTCTTGCTAATCAAGAAATCTAAAAAAACAAAAGATATATTCTTGCTAGTCAAGAATATTTTAAAAAGAAATTGCAATATTAAAAATAAAAATAATTCTTGTGATCAAACAATCCTATTCTTGTAAAATAAGAAAATAAATGAAGTAGGAAACTTAAATAAATAAAAAATTAAAAGATCATAGTCTTCAATAATAACCTTAATCAAATACTAAAATAATAAAATAAATATATTTTTTTTTTTCATATTTTAAGCAATATCCAAAATAACCCTTAATCATATGATTAAGTGGACGTAGGTTATGTTAGCTGAACCAAGTTAAACTTGACAATTTCTGATGGTGATGATTTTTTTGGTTCTATATTTTTGCCCTACATTTATTTTTTGATAATAATTCCGTCAATAAAATAATAATAATAATAATACAACACCCTCTATATCTATATAATTTTGTTAGTTTAAATTCACACAATTGAAATTTTTATCAGTATGAGTCTTATTCGAGCAAATTATGACGGAAAAATGATATGAATGAATCATTAATTATAGTAATAATAATACCTCGTGAATTGAGGGAGTGGTCCCCTCATAACTGAGAGCAGCATCTAAAGCGGTAAAGCCTTTGCCATTCTCTGTCTCTAACCTAACTCTCTTGTCCCATGTCAAAATGCTCACTATCTCAGCATGAGCATTCTTTGTGGCCAAAAGCAATGGGGTGTTTCCATCTTTGTCTGTGTCATTAACAAGCATCTCAAGCTCAGGGGCTTTAAGCATATAACTAACAATGTTGGCTTTCCCACTCTTAGCAGCAACGTGAAGAATATTTTGTCCATGTTCATTTAGCAACTCTCTTGAATCTGGAAAACGTCGTAGAAACTCCTTAACAACTTCAATATGACCTTGGCTCGATGCCTCATGAATGGGATAAGACCCATCACGGTCTCTTTTGTATCTGCAATCAACAAATGTGTCCAGGATGTAGCAAACCCCATCAACATAACCTATGGATGCTGCATACGAAAGAGGTTTCCTCCCTCTTCTGTCAGGTGCATCCATAAGATATGGCACATACTTCAATGCTGTCTCAAGAACACCTGCAATTTTTTTTTTAAAACAAAGATTAAGACCCCAATTCATTAGGAAATAAAAATAAAATAAAATAGAATGCAACATCACTAGGAGGAGTCAGTTTTAAGCTGAACCAAATTAATAACATTATGGTTAATTGTTGAATAATACTTAAATTAATATAGGATAGTTCACTTTACTGGAGTAACATGCAATCATAAATCAACAGCTATGTTACATATCATTATTATCATTATTTTTTAAAAATTTTGGACAAAATCCGCTTTGCTCCTGTGATTTAGATCAATTGTACTTTAGCCCCTATGATTTAGAAATAGTCAGTTACCTTTTGATTTGGGACTGAAGTGCAACTGTTATCTGTTCTGTCCAAACTAACAGAATTTGTAATACACTTGCCATGATCGACGTAAGTCTATTTTTCTTTTTAAATTATAAAATTAATGACAATTCTACCTTTCTCTTCATCTTCAATCACCAAATCCAGATTTTCATCTTCAATCACCAAACCCAGAAAGATCAATGATCAATTTCTAGATTTTCTCTAGAAAATTCATGGTAAAGTTTGGTAGAGTTTTAGAATTATGATTTGATAATAGAGTTGTATTTTGAGTTTGTAAGTTTTGAAATTATGATTTAAACGTGAAAAATTTGTTTGGTTATAAGTTTTGAAAAGAGTTTTGAATTGAATTTGAATTTTTTTGATGTGACACGCGATATTTAATTCAAAAACTTATAACTCATAACCAAACACAAAATTCAAAATTCTATTCAAAACTCATAAAAAAAATTAAAATTTTTAAAAATATTTTTTATTTAAAATTTAAAAAAAAAAAAAAAAACACTGTTCTAGTCAACCGGGAGATGACCAGGTAGACGTGTTTTTAACCGTGTGCGTGGAATCAATTTTTAAAAGTTCTCACCAAACACCATACTCAAACTAAGGGGTGGAATTAAATTTATAAAGCTCTACCAAACAGTTATTTTTCGGGAAAACTCCCACTTTCTCATTTGGGTTGGGGGTTTCTCAACTGACCATCTTCTTTCAAAACCCAGTTGTTCCCTTTCCCCTATCCATCTCCCTCCGTCTCCACTCCAGCTATCTCGAAAACCTTTAAAAAAAAAATGATTTGAAGCAAACTCGATGGCAATGGAGTGGACAGCGAGACTGTCTAAGTAAAAGATGGAATAGCAAGCGAACTAATCGAAGGTGGGAATGGAGGAAATGACGGAGGAGTGGGTCTCTTTCTCGATCTCTCGATCTTCGCAAGGGTAAAGAGGAAGTAGATAGAGTGAATAGTTGGTCGGTGTGGAGGGAGAAGAGAGAGAGAGGGGGGGCTCGCACCGGTGGCGGGTGTGTGACGGGGAGGGGCTAGAATGAATACAGATCGCCACCGGCCGAAGCTAGTGGTCACTATTTTATTCTTCGTATCCCAAGGCCTGCATGTTCTCATCCCGATTTCTTCAATGCTCATTCATAAACCCATGAAGTTTTGTAAGAGCTCGTTTGTGATGTGGGCTGACTTTTTGGATTTTAGTTTAGGGTTAAAAAGTTTCGTTTGGGATAAATTTTTGATTTTTTTAATTTTTGTGAGAGAAAAAATGAAATGATTATAGATTAGAGGTAACATTTTGTCATATTTGGCTAAAATAGCTAATTTTATCCTATATGACTATTTTAGCCCAAATATATATCCCAAACAGAGCCTAAGAGAAATGAAACATTCGACGACTCCTTTTTATTTTATTTTATATTTTTGTTGCCTCTGAATGTTGATGGGTTTTAAGATAATCAACGACATAAGATCTTTAGCTATATGTATATATATATATATATTCACAGAGTTAGATATCTATACATATATAAAATATACTTATATTTTATAATATATATATTTTATGTATATATTTTGTTATATTATATCATACATTATATATTTTTTATAATGAAATATGAGATTAAATTAGAAATAAAGTTTAAGAAGACAGAAAAATTGGTGAAATATCAATAAATCTCAAATAATGATGATGCTAACACTATGTGGAACTCGATGGCCACTTGTATGAGGAGAATCGCAAGGCAAGTGCTTGGAGAATCGAAAGGGACGGGACCCAACTCTAGGAAAACTTAGTGGTAGAGAGAAGAGGTTCAAGCGGCAGTTAAGGCAAAAAAAGAGTGCTTTTAAAAGTGGCAGAATGATAGAACTGAGGAAAACCTTAAGAGCTATAGATTGGCCAATAAGAATGTCAAAAAAGTAGTGAGAGAGGCTAAGTTGAAAGCTTATGATGACCTACACACTAGACAAGATAGTAAGGAGGGAGAAAAGATGGTATACGAACTTGCTAAGATACGGGAGAGGAAAACAAGAGATTTTAATCAAGTTAAGTGCATCAAGAGTGAGGATTCTAAGGTATTGGTGAAAGATGAAAAGATTCAAGAAAAATGGAAAAACTATTTTGAGAAACTATTAAATGAGGAATATGGAGGTACGGCAATAAGAGAAGAAATAGCTAATGATACGATAAACCAAGACTGTAGGCTCTATCGCAGGGTTAGGAACTTTGAAATGGAGATTGCATTTAAGAAGATGAAATCAAATAAGGCTTTAGGATCCGATGATATCCCTATTGAAGCTTGGAAGTGTTTGGGTAAAAAGGGAGTTTCTTAGTTGACTGGGTTGTTTAACAAAAATTTGTTGACTAGGAACATGCCAGATGAGAATTGCAACAACTATAAAGGAATCAAGAAAATGTGTCATCTAATGAAAGTGCGGGAGAGGGTGATGGAATACCGATTGCAAGATATAACAGAGGTGTCAGAGAATCAATTTGGGTTTATGCTTGGCAGGTCAACAATAGAAGCGATTTATCTTTTGAGGAGAGTAATAGAAAAGTATAGAGAAAAGAAAAGAAACATTCATATGGTATTTATCGACCTTGAGAAAGCATATGATAGACTGCCCCGAGATATAATATGGTGGATGTTAGAGAAAAAAAGGGTAACAAAAGGCTACATTGATGTGATTAGAGACACGTATGAAGGGGTGGTGACCACTATTAGATCGTCTGCTGGAGAGACAAGTGAAATTCCTATCATTGTAGGGTTACACCAAGGATCTACCTTAAGTACTTATCTTTTTACTTTAGTTATGGATGAGTTGACGAGCCATGGTGTATGTTTTTGCAGATGATATTGTGCTAGTGGATGAGACTAGAAAATGAGTTAACACAAAGTTAAAGATTTGGAGAAAAGCTCTTGAATCTAAAGGATTACGGATAAGTAGAACTAAGACAGAGTACATGGAGTGTAAATTTAGTAATAGTAACAATGAAAGCATAGGAGACATGAAGATTGAAAACCAAGAACTGCCTAAGAGTGAATGTTTTCGGTATTTAGGGTCGATTATCACAACAACAAGGGAGATTGATGCAGCTATGGCCCATAGGATTAAGGCGGGATAGTGTAAATGGAGAAGTGCGTCTGAAGTATTGTGCGATAAACAAATACCCACTAAACTAAAGGGTAAGTTCTATAGAACGGCTATTAGACCAGCGATGTTGTATGGGACGAAGTGTTGGGCAACCAAGAAACAATATGTAGATAAGATGAGGATGACCGAGATAAGGATGCTAAGGTAGATGTGTGGCAAGACTAGATAAGACAGAATTAGGAATGAGTATATTCGGGAATGGGTAAGAGTAGCACCGATAGAAGATAAGTTGAGAGAAAATCGATTGAGATGGTTTGGTCACATTCAACGGAGACCAACAGAGATAGTAGTGAAGAGATGAGATGCTGTAACGGTAGATGGGAGTGCTAGGGGACGAGGTAAGCCTAGATTAACGTTGATTAGCATTGTAAATAGAGATATGGATCTACTTAATTTGACTAACGAAATGGCCTTTGATAGGACCACGTGGAGAAGAATGATTCATGTAACCGACCCCATTTGATGGGACTTAAGAATTAGTTTGGTTTGGTTTGGTTTGGTATATTTTTTTCAAACGTAACAACATAACATAATAAAAAAAATTTCTTAGTATATTTTTCTCAAACATAATAATGTAATATTTCAAAAAAAAAAAGACTCTTTAGTGTATTTTTTTCAAACGTAACACTCCAATCAATGTAACACACAAAAACTCTTTATTTTTTTTCTAAATGTATCATTCTAGTCAATGTAACACACAAAAAATTCTTAGTGTATTTTTTTCCAAACACAGTATTTTAATGTAACACCAGAAAATCACATTACTAAAAATGTAGATTTTCACGCTTAACAACTAACGTTTCAGCCACCAATCCTCTCAAAAAGAATCTTCCACACGTCACATTTGCATTCTCATCCCAAAAACGAATCAAAAAATTGGAAAAATGAATCACAAAAAGACATTCACTTAAACTTAAATGATACCAAATCAAATAAATATAACTTTTCAAAATAAAAAATGACTAATTGGTTTATAAGAAACTCTTAGTACTAAATGGATCAACATTTCCCCATATGAGATTTATGAGTAAATTTTTCTAAAAAAATTATGTAATTAAATTAAATTAATTGTATAATAGAAGAGATAGAATGAGAAAATATAAAGGCAAAAGAAAAAAAAATAGAAGGGTATTAAGGTCATTTTATATTTTCCATTAATAGTATTAGTGTTACACTTTAGTCTAAAATTACAAAAGAATAAGTGACTATTTCTAAATGATAAAAGGATAAAATCTGTGTTACATGGACTCGGCACTTTGGGGCGAAGTACCCGTGTCGACACGACACGACACGAGTGCGGGTGTGAGATCTGTGTCGGATTCGCGTGTTCTCTATCAGACACAGCTCTTTACAGACAGCAAAAGAACTGAAAGAGAGAGAGAAAGAGAGAACCTGGTTGCCTGTTGAAACGGCGAAGACATGGGTCGCTGCTTCGACATGCTCGATGCTCGATCTCCATCTCCTACTCCGTCTTCTCTCCCGTTTCTTGATCTCCTTCTCTGTGTTCTCTTTCGTCTCTCGATTTGTCGATCTCTCTTCCTCACCTCTCGTCTGTCGATGTTGATCTCGATCTCCCTCTACTCTCTCTCTCAGTCGCCGACTTCTTTCTTCTCTTCTCGTCTCTGTTCTCTCGATCTCCCTTTATTAGTATATAATATTAGTAGTCTATTAGTATATAATAGTAGATAATATAAATCTGATAATATAATAATATAATATATAATATTATTCTTTTCTCTTTTTTTTTTATTCAAATATAATATTATTCATATTATATTTATATTAACATATAGTATAAATTACATTAATATAATAATATATAATATTATTCATTCAAAAAAAACTATATAATATAATAAATCATAAATAATATAATTTTTATGTCTAAAATAAAAATATCTTATTTTATCATACAAAATATAATTTATTTTATATCTAAAATAATTTTTATTTGTTATTTATATAATATAACTCATCTTCATATAATAAATATATATTTTTTTAATGATCCGAACCATTTATCTTGTACAGGTCTAAATTGAAACTTACAAAAAGAGTATGGAGAGATGAAATATGAAGGAGAGCTTATCTCCTTGTTGGGCTTTAATGGAAACCACCATGAAACAGTGATTTAAATCGTTTATTTTGTCATATTTTGTGTAGATTATTTAAAATAAATAAATTGATCCAATAAGTATAACTATATAACTTTGTTATATTTTTCGTCAAAAAATTGAATGATAAATTTTTAAAATTATACTCTTGTTAATTTTTTGAAGTTATATCTAATAAAATTATATAGTAAATATAATTATAGAATCAATGTGATTTTTTTGTCTACACGTAAAATTTTACAAAATAAATAGTTCAAATTATCAAAATACGTCTTATAATGAGTCATACAAAACCTGACAGTACCCTACGTGGACTTTATGTGGACTAGAGAAAAGCAAATGTTTCAAATCATACAAATGAAATCCGTGATGAGTTAGAATCAATGAAATTGAGTTATAGAAAACAGCATGTTGTATATAAAGAAAGAAATAGTGGTAAAAGATTGAATTACCCTTGTTCCTTGTTGTAATAGCAACGTGCAGGAGTGGTTGGCCATCCTTGAGCATATTTTGAGCGTCAACATTCCAAGCAACGAATTGCATCATAAGCTCAAAGAGCTCCTCATGCCCTGCTTCGGCTGCCATATACAAGGGTGACTTTTTTTCCCGATTCGGAACACATGAAGTTATTTGACTTCCAGGCCGCTTAAACAAAAACAAAGCCACCTCGTATTGATGACCCTTTACGGCCATATGTAATGGAGTATTCCCTTGTTTATTTTGCCCCTCTATGACATCTAAAATGTCCTGCTCTGCTTCAGTTTCTCGCCTAGAAGAAAGTGCAAACTGTAAAGCATTAGTGATCAGAGACTTGACTATAGATAGATGACCACCAGCTGCAGCAAGATGTAGAGGATGATCATTGTTGTAGTTTTTGCTCTTGAAAAGGTCTGGGCATCTACTTTGGATTGGTTCCACTAGATGGTGATGGCCTAGTCTTGCGGCGATATGAAGAATCGTGTCGCCTCGCGGGGTGAGTTGGTTGAGAAGATTGAGTTCGGAGTCTTGTTGTAGTGCTGTTGTCAGGCCATGGATGTCTCCAGCTATAGCTGCACTGTATATTGCAGCTATAGCTGCACTGTATTCGTATCTGTCATGTGTATATGTTTCTGTAATATCTAATTCCCAGTCCAGTGGCGCTGTTTCTGTAAAATCTATTCCCCTGCCCGGTGGCGCTGTTTTTGTAAAAGCTACTCCCCTGTCCATTGGCGGCGGAGACACAAAACCTACATCCCTGTACATTGGAGACACAAAACCTACATCCCTGTCCATTGGCGGCGGAAAGAAATGAGCTACAGCATCCCTGTCCATTGGCGGCGGAAAGAAATGAGCTACAGCATCCCTGTCCATTCGCGGAATCAGAAAATTAAATTAGAAGGGACTTATTAATTATAATATTGAAAATCTTTACAAAAATATTTCATGTAAGTTTTTACTATTGATGTCCAAAAATATCATAAAAATAATGTTATTTATAACTAATGTATCATTAACAATACAAAAAAAAATATGGATACAAGTCTTAACATAAATTATATAATGATAAAAAATTTTTATACAAAATTTGATTAAAAATTCAATATAATGGTAATATATGTGATATCACCAACTAATAGTACATAAACACATAGAGAGTGAACCTCATATGTGAAATGTAATTAACAATGCAATAAATTTCATATATTTATAGTGAGATTACTTATACTTACATGTCAATAATAATAATATCATCGTTACATTAAAAAATATCATGTATGCCCATTTAATCAGTGATACATGATATATAGCAATTTTAATTTGACATGGGCTTGAACTGGAGGTGTGGTTGGTGTAAGACTCTCATGGTCTCAGTCCAACAAGTAATTTTTGTATATGGATAATGTATTTGTTATTAAGGATTAAAAAAATATGAATTTTTTATTTTGATATATTTTTTTTAAATTCATTAACAACATAAAAAGTACAATTATTACCATTGATATTCTCAAAAAAATATAGTATTAGAGGGTAATTTTGTAAAATTAAATGTTTTTAAAGTGGAATAATTGTATTACCAAAAAAAGTTAGATTCTACTTAAGGGACTATTATTTTGGGACGGAGAGAGTACCATAAATTAATTGGCTCAAATTTGTTTTCAGTTCATTGCTGGGGGATAAGCTCCGTCCGTGCCTCATCTCTATATACCTCTCTATACTATTTTTATAAGTTTTAATTCGGATCCGCACTAATGATCCGAACCATTTATCTTGTACAGGTCTAAATTGAAACTTACAAAAAGAGTATGGAGAGATGAAATATGAAGGAGAGCTTATCTCCTTGTTGGGCTTTAATGGAAACCACCATGAAACAGTGATTTAAATCGTTTATTTTGCCATATTTTGTGTAGATTATTTAAAATAAATAAATTGATCCAATAAGTATAACTATATAACTTTGTTATATTTTTCGTCAAAAAATTGAATGATAAATTTTTAAAATTATACTCTTGTTAATTTTTTGAAGTTATATCTAATAAAATTATATAGTAAATATAATTATAGAATCAATGTGATTTTTTTGTCTACACGTAAAATTTTACAAAATAAATAGTTCAAATTATCAAAATACGTCTTATAATGAGTCATACAAAACCTGACAGTACCCTACGTGGACTTTATGTGGACTAGAGAAAAGCAAATGTTTCAAATCATACAAATGAAATCCGTGATGAGTTAGAATCAATGAAATTGAGTTATAGAAAACAGCATGTTGTATATAAAGAAAGAAATAGTGGTAAAAGATTGAATTACCCTTGTTCCTTGTTGTAATAGCAACGTGCAGACAAAAATAATAAATTGAACAAGTTACCGTTATCGGATCGACTTAATTTTTTTGTGTGGATGAAATATACAAAGTGTTTGACAAAATGAACAGTTCGAATCATCGAAACAGGGCCTATAATGAGCCCCACGGGTCCAAACAACACTCTCCAATCTAAAATCTAGACTAGAGAGAATCCTCCTCCGTTGCCTATGTATTAGTATTAAAATTAAGCAATGTTGGTTATGGCTTTATAATCTATTCTTGCTATATTTCAAGTGGTGTTTGATTATGACATATTATCATATTGGTTATGATTCAGTAATAATGTATTGTGATTTTAATTTTGGTTTAACGTGTTTGATTAATATTAGTTAAGTTATGATATAAAGTAAGTTATAACCAACATCACAAAAAATAAGAATATTATTTCTAAATTTTATTTTTGTCAATAAAAAAAATCCAATTTAAGCAATCAATACAAATTTAATTTAGTAGCATAGTTAAAATAAAATCAACTATTGCGAAATTCAACTTAAATTTTCAGTAATTTCTTGGTTCACTTGCCCTCGGCCAATATGAAATCAATAATATTGTAATCAAGTTTTTAGTACTTCCTTCGTCGGCTTTCCCTCAGCCAATATGAAAGCAAGAACATTGTAACGTCAATATAAATAGAATTTTATGTAATACATATAGATAGATAGATTTGGTTCTCAAGTATATATATTAACCCAATTCTATCGAATTGATGATTTAAAAATCTAAAACTGAAACTAATGTGCTTAAAAATCAAACCAACCCAACTCACAAAAGGTCGGTTCATCCCGTGACATTAAATATTTTGTTCACCCTAATATGACATTCTCTATGTTCTTATATTTTAAAAAATGTCAATTACTAATATTAATCCACTCTCACTATTTTACTAAAGTTGAAATTTGTTACGTTTTCTAATCAATATGAAATTGTATAGGAATTGGATCCTCTTCTGTCCATGATTTAAATTAAAGGTTGTTGTTGGAATCCGCAAGACTCACCACAAGTCTCATTTTTAATTATTCGAATCGTTGATTTTGTTGGATCTTTCGTATATATTACAAGAAAATTTGATCGATCAGATATTCATAACTTATTCAATTTATCACGGTTGTTACCAAAAATTAAATGGTATATTTTTAAAAACACACTTGTTATCTATTTTCTTAATGACAAATGCGATAAATTAAATAAATTATGCTCATCAGAATGACCTTTTTTTCATATTACAAACGTGAAGAGTTTGATAAAATGAACGATTCAGATCATCAAATGAGACTCGTGATGGGCCCTATGCGCTCAAACAATGTCCCCCGTCTATGATAAAACTGGGGAGAAAGCCAAGTAAAATTGTACAATACCAAAGATATATTTTTATGGATGATGCTACTTAAGCTAAAAAAATTAGACTCACTTTTCAAATTCAATGACGTGACGATCTATTAGAATCTCTCTCTCTCATCTTCTCTCTCTCTCTCTCACTCTCATGTCTTCTCTAATTATGAACCAATAATCTCATTTATATACTATTGAATCTAGAAAATATAAGTCTAAAAAATGAATTTCTTTATAACTTTCCTATTTTTATTTAAATTATTTACAAAATCGGGAATATTGTTCGTACCACATAAGTTTCCTCCTAGATGTATTTATTTGAGCAGTGGTATAGACTTACAAAATCAACAAAAATAAATAAACAAAGATAAAGAAGAGAAAAAATATAAATAAATTAATATAAAAACAAGAAAAAATAGAAGACTTAGGCCATAAGTCTAATTTTAAAATTTTTAGGGCAGTAGTCTTAAACTCCATTCTTTTTGGAGTCAAAACAACAAAATAATTTGAAAGACTTTATTCCTACCTATTTGTCAATCTGTTTACTTAGGTATCGTTTAGTAACACTTACGTTTTCAGTTTTCTATTTATATTTACAAAAATTTTAAAAACTCAAATAAAAACTTGTTTAGTAAATTTTTTATTTATAAATCAGTGGTCTCAGTTTATAACTTTGGTCAAAAAATGTAAATTCAAAAAATGTATTTCCGTTTTGAGTTTTTTTTTTTTACCACCCAACACTAGCCACCAACCGTCACCATTTTCCACTACCGTCTTCCGTGGCACCGCCCAACCCCACCACCACCTGCCATTACCACTCACCACCCAACCGCCACCACCACCCACCCACCTACCATCCACTCACCACCACCACCACCACCTTCACCCACCCACCATCCACCTGTCACTACCATCCACTGCTCGCCACCACGCACCGCCACCCATTCGCACCAACCACCACCCGCAACCGTCACCCACCACCACCACCCGCACCACCACCACACCATCACCCACCATCCGCCATCCGCCACCACCACCACCCACCACCCCGCCACCGTCACCCACCCACCTACCACCACTACCGCCACCACCCCACTACCACCGCCATCCGCCACCCACCTGCACCACCCACCACCCACCCGCCACCACCACCACCACCACCACCCACTCGCTACCACCCGCCACCGTCACCCACCACCACCACCCACCCGCCATCACCCACCACCACGCGCTACCCACCACCCATCGTCACCACTTTCTACCACCGTCTTCCGCAGCCACTTGCCATCACTTGCCATTTCTCACTCTTTTTTATATTTTTAAAATTTTTTAAACATTTTGTCAATTATCAAATGCATTTGTATTTTATGTTTTTTTAAAAATAAACAAAAATCAGTTTATAAAATTTTTGTAAATATAAATTGAAAACGTAAACGTTGCCAAACAAACCCTTATCTATTCAAGTGTTATCTATTTGTCAACTTATCTATTTATTTGTTATCGTCCTATTTGTACGTAAATGACCTGTTTGTCCACATAATCTGCCTATTCATATCACCACCACCACAAGTCACCCCGTTAACTTTCACGCGACTTTTCAGCGACAGCGGTAATTTAGTGGTGATTTAGCGATAGTAAGTTAAAAATAGAAAGAGAAATCGTTCAATATAATAATTTGTTCTTTTTATTAAATAATTTCATTATTCGTGTCCTTATCTCCATGAAAGATTAATCATTGGATCTAATGTCATATCTCCCAATAAAATGGATTTATTACCAATAAACCCGAAAAAAATAAGGAAAATTTGGTGAAAATCCCTTCTTTTTTTGTGTATGACATTAGGTTGAAGAATTTTTTTTTTTTTATCAATAAAATATTATTTTGAAGGATTTTTTTTTTCCATTTGTTAACTCACTACCGCCAGATCGCAGTCGGTTAGTCGCTAGAAAATTTGTCATTGCTAAAAAAGTCACTAAATGTGGCGAGTGGCGATGGGTGGTGGCGGTGGTGGTGGTGACATAGACACATAAACAAATAGATAGGATAATATAGTATTTCAATTTGTTATTGTCCTTTTTGGCCTCAAGAGAATAGAACTTGAGGTTATTGCATAAAAAATTTTGAAATTAGACTTATGACCTGAATGCCCAAAAAATAATTTG